TTTACAACAACTTTCAACCATTCGTCATTTTAACAAAATCATAACACTATTTGTCTAAGACAAACAAATAGGAAATAGCAACCCGATTTTTGTAGTCATGATGTTGTCAAAATGCATATATGTCACGAAAAAATAAAATGTTACATGATATTTGAGAATTTTTAATGGAACTGGTGATTTTTCAATATGGCAACAAAAGATAAGAAATATTTTCGTCCAACAAAAAGTTTTAAAAGCCATTAAAGGCAATTATTTTGTTGATTTTTCAAAAGAACAAAAAGAAAAAGTCGATGAACTTGCTTATAGTTCAATCATTTTACACTTATCTGACGCTATTTTGAGAAAAGTGGGTAGACCAAAAATCAGTAAAGAACTTTGAAAATAATTAGAGAACTTATATTTTCTTAATCAACTCCAAACAAGTTTTACTTACTTGAACGCTTTTTCAGTTTTATAATGGATCATTCAAAGAATCTTGATGACAATTTAGACATTTTTAACAATCTTGTTCAAGATATTGTTAGCTGTGAAGACTCAATATTTGAAACCTACACGTCAACAATTTTACGTAATTCCATACCCAACACTTATAATGAAGTTAAGAATGCGATTAAGTAGGTGGGGACACTATGACGCCTGAAATTGTCAATGATTCTCTTAGCAGTAAGGAGATAGAGATTAAAGTTGAAAAACATATAAGAAAGGTGGTGAGACTCACATGGTAAGGGGTAGAACTCAATTTAGGAAAAAGGCTCATGAAAGGTTCCATTATGGTGGCGAGTCAAGTTGCAATGGAAGTAAAAAGAAGGACAATGGTAGGTCTTGATCAAAATTTAGAACTGAGATTAGAAAATGCTATGGTTGTGGGAACTCGGGACATTTCATAAAGATTGCTATAAATAAAAGAGTAAGTTGAAGGGTAAAGAGAGAGATGAAGGAAACTTCCAATGTTGATAAGGGCGAAGTGTACATGATTCCAAGTTCTATTGCTTATCCCGCTGAATTGAATCTAACTATTAATTCTCGTTTACATGAGCGGATACTTGATTCTTGTGCATCTTTTCTTGTAACATTAAAAAGGATTGGTTTGAAAACTTGCATGAATCAAATAATGGACATGTTGCGCTAGGTGACAATTCTACTTATACTGTTGCTGGGATTGGTAACACTACCTTAAAGTTCGACACTGATTTTGTGTATACTTTAAAAGATGTTAGATACATTTCGACACTGATTATGTGTTTGATTTTTTTTTTTTGGTGATTACTGTGTGCTTGGTAAACATCATGGATCTTCCTTCTCTGCGAGTATTCATAAATCTAAAGACATGCTTGAATATGTGCATTCAAACTTGTAGGATCCTGCTAGTGATCCTAGCTCGAATAAAAATAGGCATTTTTTGCCTATTATCAATGATTACATGAGAAAATGAGTGGGTTTATCTTTAAAAGATAAGTCCGATACTTTGTACAGTTTTAATAATTGAAAAAGACAAGATGAGAACCAAACTAGTAAAAGGATCAAATTTTTGGAACTAATAATGAACTAAAGTTTTGCAACATTGAGTTTGATAATATGTATAAAGAAACTGGAATAACAAGGTATAAGACTATTCCTTACACTTCCCAACAAAATAGGGTACCTAAGAGGATGAGTAAAATTATATTTGATAAAGTATGTTGCATGATAGTAAGTTCTGGTGTCCCAAAGTCATTTTGGGACGAAACTGTTATGACCGCATGTTGTTTGATTAATTTGACTCCATCTATCACACCGAATGGTGATACTCCTCATGAAAAATGGTTTGATGAACTAAGTGATTATTCTGTACTTAGAACTTTTGACTATGCTACTTTTTCCCATCAGAGTGAAGGAAAGTTTGAACCTAAAGCTAAGAAATGTACTTACTTTGGTTTTCCAGAAGAAGACAAGGGTTATAGGCTATGGGATAGGAGCCAAATGGGGATTAAGTTCATTACAAGTAACGATGTCAAGTTTAACGAGATTGAAGATGCCTTGCCTTAAGACTGATTCTAAACCTGTGAGTGAAGAAGAGAAATGTGAAGAGAGAGATCAGTTGAAGGTAGAGTTAGAAAAACTTAACACATCAATACCTACCACCCCTAATGAGGTGAAGACTCGAGTTCAGCAACCTGAAGTAGAGAATAGAGAGAAAGTAGTGATAAAAGAGCATCCTAAAATAGAAAATCCCTTAGCATATTATAAAAGGGAAAATGTGTTTTGACTGAAATGCCATTACTTTATTAAGTCAAAATTATAAATGATTTCCATTAGTTCAGACTTTACCTGTGAGTTCTTTAAAGGTTTGATACCTCCGATGGTACAAATAAAAGGTTTGGGTTAAGTTTCCTAATAAACAAAAGGTTTGGTACCTTTAGTTACAATTTTCCTTTTTTTGAATAATAAATATTTGGAAAACATGTGGTTAAAAAGTAAGAAAAATTTTAAATTTACATAAAAAACATTTTATTATGAAAATATATAAATGAAAATGAATATGAGAAAAAAAAATGATAATCATTTTGAGTATTGAAAGAATGATAATCATACATGGACTGAATTCAAGGAACCTCCCGGTTGCTGCCGGCTGGGGTGATGGGGTGACTATTGATTTCAACATTACCAGAATTTCCACTGATTGAAATTTTTTGAGGTAGGCCAATGTTTCAAATAATGTGATCTCCGACTTACACAAAAATATGTAATCAGTATTTATCAATAATGTGTTAAGTGGCTGTATAATTTAATTTCTTTAAAATAAAATTGGTGTTGACCATAATTATCATGAAAAATGATGAGATGTAAATGAAGGAAAAATGTGTTTGGAATGCAGAACAAGGATTATCCAAAAATTAATTTATTTTTTGAATTTAAAAATTCAATATTGTTACTCCATGTCCATATTTATTTCATAATCAAGAAATGAGAAAATTCGAACATACCAAAATCAATTATCAATTCTTGAATTGGTCTAAATTATGAATTTCTAACTCTCTAGATTATAGATTTTAAATTAACATGATGCTTCAAACCTCCAACCTTTTTGTGGTATTCTCCAACGTAACGATTACGCCGTGAACACTTTTCTTTTAATTGAACCACAAATCGAATTGTTGATTGAATTGACCAAGAAAAGTCAAGAAAATATGATAATAATTTTTTCAACCTTTTCTCTTTTCTGTTAAAGAATTTGGCCGCTATATACCCATATTATAGGCACGAAAGCCTTGTTATAGAGTTTAAATTGAGTAATAATTTGGTATAATTTCACATGTGATCCTTGAGCTTTAATTACAGTTACAATTAAATTTAAAATTTTTAAAATAACTGTAATTGAGTCTAGAAAATTTTCGAACTAGCACGGGGATTGATCAGATATATATTAACAAAACTCCTATGATTAGATCATGTCTAATCAATTCTAGATCATTCAATCTAATTATTAGCCTTTACTTTTTTCCACTAAAAATAAAAGATTGCACTTTTATAATAAATAAGATCATAGAAACTATTACTTAATATATATTGAATAGTTATGTGAACTATTCACAGATGAAGTTTAGACATGGCTAAGCTTGAGGTTATATTTATAATCATTCAACAAAAATACTCAAGTAGTCACTTTATCCCTTTTTTTCTACGAATCATGACATAAATTCTTGTTATCTGCTTCACTCATTCTCAATCCCCCAACTCACTGGATATTTGGTCAATGAAATTGATCACATATATTGATGAATCAAAAAATCGTTAAACTTGTGTATTGATATACACAATGATCAAGTCCAATTTAATTCTCACATAATTATGCTATAGAATTAAACTTGACTTGTGGTCTATTCAATAAACTCTAAGTGTAGTAGTTTCATCTTTAATTATTTCTACGATAAAGATAAATCGCAAAACCCGAATAGTGAATGAATCAATAGCACAACCTTTCAGTACAAGGAGTCAACCTTTATACATTGATTATGGACGAATTATTTATAATCAAATTATAAATTGTATCATATTGTACTTTTCAATATAAGCATTCAACTTGGATTCTCACAAATGAACACATACACTTTAATTCGAACATTCAATATAAAATATATGCAATAAAAAAAAAAAACATGGTTTGTTTGTTATATAAAAAAATTATTTTATAATCAAAGAAAAATATATGTATAATCTAAAATAGATCTATTTAAATTGACTTAATTTTTAAATTCATGAGACGATAATGGATTAATTTGCAACTTTTGCTCTAGAATTAATTGATAATTAAAGATTGTGGAGATGAACCATAATGAAGTTCAAAATCTTGGTAATTTTAATTTCTTTCTTCTTAATAAATTTTTTCAAAGTAGACTAAAATTATAATGAATTTAGATTAATCTAAGACTTCATTTTAGCATTCCCTGTGAGTATGAAATCTGTGCTTATTGACTCTGAAATACTAATATAGCAGAAAATTCATGTTTAGAAGACTAAACTACATTCAGAAAGCTTGTAAAAATATGAAAGTTGAGCTCGAAATAGTCACCTTGAACTATGAGTATTGCCGAGTTGAAAGCCACAGCTAAGGTCCAATAAAGTCTAATTGTAGAGGCAACTGGCCATATCAAGTATGACCAGTACTGTACCAAGGCACCTAAAACGCTATATAGACGAGCTCAGACCAGGTTCAACCTGGAAGCCAAGCACAAGAAAATCTAACAGTTGCAGAATTAAATGATCGTATATTAATCTATGCACTGTTATCGATGATAATTTCATTTAAGCTAAACTGTTAATTATTTACTATAAGCTTAGATAGCAAGACCTACTTATTCCAGGTCATTATTGTTGGAAACGGAGAAGGGAAATAGCTCCAGATACCATAGACTAGTCAGCATTTTAATACTCCCGTCGTTCTTGGTACCAATCCACTGAATAGTCCTGTCCATGTATGTATATATATGAAATAGTGGTCCAACTCGAATCTAAGCATGCTTTTTCATATATTTGAAGCATAATCTTAACCTTATAATACTTCAGATTTGGCGATTGGATGCAAATTATCAATCCTCTTGATAATTTTTCCAAGTTTAGTTATAAGGCGTGTGCACTAAACCTCATATTCAGTCAATATGCATTCAAGCTTCTGCTTATTGCCTAAAAAGCAATTCTGTTAAACCAGAAAAAACGAGAAAAAGATCAGAACTAGAACCATGAAGATATCCAATAAATATTCCCACTTAATTTTTGTCTTAACTTTTTTTATGTCCATCCAGAAAATCTCCAATCAAACAGATACTATAACTACTACACAGATCCTTAGGGATGGTGAGACCATAGTTTCATCAGGTGGCATCTTTGAGTTGGGATTTTTCAGCCCTGGAAATTCCAAGCATAGATACGTGGGCATGTGGTACAAGAAAATAAAAGTTAAGACAGTAGTATGGGTTGCCAACAGAGAAATTCCAGTCTCAAATACATCAGGAATAGTCTTAAAGGTTATCGAGCCAGGACTTCTGGTTCTTCTAAACGAATCTAATGGTGGTATCATATGGTCATCTTATACATCCCGACATGTGAAAACTCCAGTTGCAATATTGCTTGACTCAGGAAACTTAGTTTTGAAAGATGCAAATGACGATGGCCAAGGGAATTTCCTCTGGGAGAGCTTTAATAATCCGACTGATACATTGTTACCAGGAATGAAGCTTGGTTGGAACTTTGGTAAGGAGGTCTATCTATCATCGTGGAATAACAATGATGATCCATCTTCCGGAGATTTTACATATCACTTAGATCCTAGTGGTTATCCACAACTTGTTATGAAAAGAGGTTCAGATGTGGTGTTTAAAACTGGACCTTGGAACGGACTAGGCTATAGTGGGATGCCAGACTTGAGGAATAATTCTATTTTCAATTTTGGAGTAGTTATAAACAAAAACGAGGCATACCATGCTTACGAGCTCCTTGGATCAATTATTTCAAGGTATGCAGTGAATCCAAGTGGTGTTGCAGAGCGTTGGATGTGGATTAGTCGGACGCAAAGTTGGGTGGTTTACATTACTGCTCCAACAGATAATTGTGACAGATATAAAGTGTGTGGTGCATATGGTAGTTGCAATATCGAAAATTCTCCTGTTTGTGGATGTTTGGATAGATTTCTGCCTAAAGATCCAGAAGGTTGGGATAGTGCAGATTGGTCGGCAGGATGTGATCGAAGAACTTCCTTGAATTGTCAAAATGGAGATGTATTTCTCAGGTATTCAGGTATTAAACTGCCAGATACACAATATTCTTGGTTTAACAAGAGTATGACACTCGATGAATGCAAGGTAGTGTGCTTAAAGAATTGCTCGTGTATGGCTTATAGTCAATTGGATATAAGCAAAGGGGGAAGTGGATGTCTACTTTGGTTCAAAGACCTAATTGACATCAGACAGCTTTCGGAAGCCGGACAAGACATCTACATTAGAATGGCTTCTTCTGAATTAGGTAAGAAACTAAGAATTTAATGAACAAATTCTTTACTCTTGTCTAATTTCCCTTCATAGATAATCTGATACTTATCACTTTCAAGGTTTTATCATTATTGAAAAAGAATTCATTTTATTGGCATATAAAATTTTGCAGAGTTGAAAGGAAGGAACAAAAAAGTTCTCGAATTAAGTTTGTCGTTGTCAATAGGAATGATTCTGCTTGGACTTAGTCTGATGTTGTATCTTCGAAGAAGGAAGAAAAGAAATCACAGGCTCAGATCATTTGGTAAGCAAAAACTACGATTTTCTACTATAGTCAATGGGAGCAACCAAGTTATCCATACTGAGCTAATTGAAATCCTTCTTTTGGTTTTCTGTCAAGTTAAATCCAATTCATCGCTTTTGTTTCAGGTAGGCAAGGACACAACAAAGACATAGAGATACCAATGTTTGATTTATATACAATATCTAAAGCTACCAATAATTTTTCAGTTAATAACAAGCTCGGGGAGGGTGGGTTTGGACCTGTTTACAAGGTAATAAATAGTTTCTTTTTTTAGTTGATATAACAGGGCAGGCACCACACAGTATCAAATATTTGCTTTCAGAATCCTTTGTAAAATTACTCTTATTTTTCATAAGAAATGAAGTCTTTAAAACATAAAATTGCAATGTCAAGAAAGTCAAACGTGTAAAGTGAGTGGAAGATGAATTTTGTAAACTGGCATCTTGCAAAACAAATACTATTTTACATGAACGTGATCCATGATATAGGGACTGTTTGAGGAGGGGCAGGAAATTGCAGTCAAACGGTTATCAAGAAATTCCTTCCAAGGACTTGATGAGTTCAAGAATGAAGTTATCTGTATAGCTAAACATCAACATCGAAATCTTGTGAAGCTTCTAGGTTGCTGCATTGAAGGAGAAGAAAAGATGTTAATTTATGAATACATGCCTAACAGAAGTTTGGACTTGATTCTATTTGGTAAGAATTATTGACCTCACACAATCAGCTCAATATCACATTCTATCCAGAGTACCAATTATAAGCAATGACACACATTTTTGGATCCCGCGCAAAAAGTTTATGATCTTCTGTTATACTGGGTACAGCTTTATACACGCATCTTTAGTGCTACCGTGTGCTTGTGAAGTTATTTAGTTATTGATATTGAATTTGATTTCTTATTTCCTCATTTCCGAATATCCAACAAACAAATCATCCTTGTGAGCAGAGAAAAACTTTTTGCAGATCCAATGCAAAGTGCAGTTCTTGACTGGCCAAAGCGCTTTCACATTATCAATGGTATTGCTCGGGGTCTTATGTATCTCCATCAAGATTCCCGTCTAAGAATAATCCATAGAGACCTCAAAGCTAGCAACATTTTGCTAGATTCTGATATGAACCCAAAGATATCAGACTTTGGCCTGGCTCGATGTTTTGGAGGAAACGAGACTGGAGCTAATACAAGCCGAGTAGTTGGAACATAGTAAGAATCTCAATCCCTAATTATATTAAATGCTCTTCTATTGCTCATAACATAATTTCCTTATAAATTTTATCACCACATAGTGGCTACATGTCCCCAGAATATGCTATAGATGGTCATTTCTCAGTGAAATCAGATGTATATAGTTTTGGGGTTTTGGTGCTTGAGATAGTGAGTGGCAAAAGAAACAGAAGATTTTCTCACAGAGATCACCACCACAATCTTCTTGGACATGTATGTATAGTTTAATTATTTCTATATTCTTGACAATGAATTTTTTCCTTTTGGCATTTGGATTAGAAAAAACGGTCCCTTTAATTTAGTTTTGTAAGTACAGGCATGGAGGTTGTACAAAGAAGGAAGGTCTTTGGAATTAGTCGATGCTCACCTTGACGTCTCGAGCTATTTATCAGAAGTGCTTCGATCGATCCATGTGGGACTTTTATGCGTTCAACAGTGTCCACAAGATAGGCCAAGCATGTCTGTAGCTGTGTTAATGTTAGCGAATGAAGGATTGTTGCCTCAAGCTAGACAACCTGGTTTTTTCACAGAAAGAGATGCTGAAAGTTCAAGTAGCACAACCACTGCAAATTCAAAAAACCAAATGACCATTTCACTGGTGGAAGCAAGATAAGTAAATTAGATACAATAGTTACCCTGTTTTGCTTTTTTCGTTCTTCAACCAAAATACTGTATTTGTCTTCCATTATAAACATTAATTTTCTATTAAAGAAATAACATTCTCCTCTGTAATTGATGAATTTAGCAAACATGATACCACTGGCAAATAAAATCAAGTGAGTAAGTCAATAAAGATTGTATTTTATTCTAATAAGGCCATAATGTCAGAAATACTACCAATTTAGGTAAGCAATTTGTCTTGACCGTGATGAAAGTTATATCGAGAGTATTGACACTTGTACATCGAGTGAATCTCGTAGTATATTGGACAGGTCCAAATGTGTGAATTAATTTCTATAGCATGACCATGCACAGATTTTAATTTATACTTGACAGTCTTATGTATTACCTTATTCAGCTGCGGAATGGAAAACTTCCAATCAGTTGCATACTCCCAAATCTTCCTCAAAATTAGGGCATGGGGCAGTCATTAAATTTATAATGTTTTTATGAACTTAAATTTACAGTTACAAATGGAAGTCAAATCTGAAAACCCGAACGAAGTCTGCCAAAAATATAGGATGAACATCCACAGGTTTTATTTAAGATAGTCGTCGTATTTAATTTCTAGTTTTTTGTTACTACTTTACTGTTAAAAGAGCTGATCATCTATTGACATGAATATAGATGAATCAAATGCATTCAATTGCTTCTTTTTATTCATCTGCAACTGGGATCTAGCTGACCTTCATGAAGAGCAAGAATTGAAGTAATCTTACCATGCAACATTAGAAAAAATAAAATATTCTGAATTCAATCAACATTTTGGCTATAATTAAGTGATCGTTTCTTCAATAATTATCATATTGTTCAACCTATCTATCTGCCTTCTAGACCAGTTATTCTGATTGTATATGTGTTGGCGTTGTCCTCAGATATACAGGTTTTTTCATTAACAGAACTGTTTTCCATGAAAAATCCAATTTTTTTGGGATCTTCAAATTTGCTAACTCCTCAATTCATAACATGAAAAGCACTGTGTTTCTAAATGCATGATAAGTCCACATGTATACATCTCCTCAATTAATATTCAGAAGAAAATTTTTTTTGAATGTTTCAAGCATTCATTCATTAGTTCCAAAGCTTTATCTTCATTTCAAAGGAGTGAAAATTGCTCAAGTTAGATGAGTATTATCAATTCCATAAAGTTAACTAGGAAACTGAAATTCGATTCATATCGCTACTTAGATATCCTAAAAGGCTATGATAGTGATTCATGTCTGAAACTTGTGTTCTTTTTGCCACTATCTCTAACAAGATGATTCCCATGCTGAAGACACCTGATTTTATACTCTGGAGCCATATAGCCACTGTATAAAGTTATCTATTGTAGCCGCAATAGTTGCTAAATCAAGGTAAATCTATATCTTTAATTTTTATGGGCTTCTTCTTCTTATTAGAATCGTTGTTTGATCCTGAAAGTTACTAGTTCAATCCTAAAATCACCGAGAGGGATGAATAGGTGAAAACTAAGGAATTGAAATTATTAATTAATAGCAACAAATCACTTATTAATTGTTCTAGATGTTTAATCAATCAAACCAATTTATCCTATGTTAAACTGCCACAATTTGCAATATAAAAGTAATAAGGTTTGCAATATAAAAGTAATAAGGAATACAAGAATTGTTGACAGGGAAACTCAACAGGGTAAAAATTATGGGACCAAATCAATAACCTCTACTATAGACAATAAGAACTTGTAGTATGATCTAACCTAGAAAATCCAATAGACTCACTATCTAATTCCTGCAATCTCCAAGACCTGCTGGAACATGCTTCACTCACACTTATTTCCAGTCTTTTGGAATTTTCTATCTCCTGTGGATCACTAAAAATACCTTGTTCTTGTACTATTTCTATATTCCTAGTTCAACATCCCTCAATTTTCAGCAACCTCTGAAAGCTATTAAGAAAGTACATTCCTGTATGCGCATAAAAAGTGGGTATATTTGATTATATGAATTTGATGTTTTCTGTAAAGTTGTGGTTGAATGAACTCAAGAATCAAAGGATTGATCTAAGGCTTAAATGTGTTTTTCAATATTAGAAAGATGTTATGAAGAAGAAATATAATGAAAAACCATGCCAAAAACATTTTAGAGCTTGGGTATATATAGTAGAAGGCAATTAGGTAACTCGTGCTGTATAAAATTCTTGAAAAACGCGAATTAGGATTTTACTCGTAATACCATCTCTCGAGCACCTAGCTAACGATAAGCAAGCGACCAGTGTGTCACTCGAGCAAGAGCTGGGCGATACTGTTTATTATTTTTTTTTCCTTGAGCATTAGATAGGCGTCATGCTAGCGTAAATTCGACAACTCCCCCCTCGTTCCAAACTCGAATCCTAAGTTACCTATGTCATCTATAAAATATTTCAATTGACTCCTTGACTTTTAAACTTTTCATATTAGTCCTTTTGTGTAAAGAATTGACAATACAATAAAATCCTAACAGATTCTAAAAAGAACCAGCTGATGCAATTTTCTTTTCATGAATCGTATTTTAATTAAGTTTTATCCACAGTTGCTGCCATATTTTACGATGAACAAGATTGGTCGATGTTATTTTTCCCTCAAGTTCTACGTTATGAAACTTGATTATAAAATTAGGCTCCATAGAGTGATGTTAGTCTTTAGAAGTTCATAAAAATAATATAACAAATCTCAATCGAACCAAGGATACTTGGACTGTTTCTGTTGATTTTTATGAACACTCCATTCTTATCTATATTTAATACGAGCTAAAATACATATTTCATGAGTTTGGCATGATCAAACTTGTAAAATTTGGACCAGACCCATTGGTCTGACTTTTAAACAGGCAACCGACTTGCAAATTGGTCCAAGATAAGCTACATGGCCAGACCCCATTGCTTGTGAACATGTCAACCTTGGTACCTCGAATCGATGATTGGACCGAGTTTTGTAAGTATTCATAATATCTTATCTGGCTAAGATAAGATACATGTCTTAGACACTAAGAAGTCTAAGAAGCGATTACCAGATAGATTTATCTGGCTAAGATACATCTCCAAGACTTCAAGTATTTCTTTATTGGAATTTTCTAGTTGTATAACAGGAATTGACAATTTTGATTGACAATGTCCTCACGGTAGGGAGCTCAGGTTTTTTTATTCATTATGGGGCCTCCTCCAAGATGTGTAGTTATCGATCGGATTGTCAATCTTGGTTTTACATACAACACTTCCCTTATTTATATACCTGATTACCAAGGTAGTTGACCATCTCCATTCCTTGAATCCTGGTGTCACCGGGATAACCAAAATTCTTCCACGTGTTGTTTTGTGGGGAAGCTCCAGTTGTCTTGTCTATTAGTACAAGGTTTTAATAACTCAGAGTCATAATTAATGTCAATTTCATTATTTTCCTTTCATCACTTACTTTCAATCTGGCATAAATAATCAATAATTTGTCAAACACGTTTACTTGACTTTTCTTGAAGCCACATCTAGTATGGGGTTTATTCCATGGGGAAAAAAAAAGGGTAATGCAGCTTAAACGTGTCTATTCTTACAGCTACGTAAAGTTTATGGAAAAATCAGTAATGAATCTTATGCTTGTAAATCAAGCAACTATCAAGTATTCTTTCTTCTTTTTCTTAGATATGTCATTCCACACAGGAAAAAATCATATAATTGGTCTCTAATTTGTTTTATTGCATTACAGCAATGGCCCTAATATAATATGATGAAGTTGGAAGAACAACAACCAATACTGGAACTGAACCCGAACTAAAACCTGCAGTAGATTTGAAGTTGCGTGCGTTGGGAAAAAATGCTTGTTAGGGCTGTTTTGGCATAATTTTGAGTGGGATCTATTCGTTCATTTTGAAAGATCAAAGTTGATTTGTGTTATCCTTTGTGAGAATATTGATATCATATATTTACTTACCAAAAATGATAACTGGGTAAATGAAAAATTAAAGCTCAAATTGATGAATTGGAAGAGGTTAATGTGTCAAAGGGAAAACTACAAGTTTACAAAAGCTATATGGCTACACTTTGAAAGTTTGTAATCATGTGTAGAGATTCTTTCCACGTGCAAACGCAAGGGGTACAAATTAAGAACCGAAATAGCACTTTGGATCTTGAACTCGTGTGCACATGAATGTTGCACTGAACGAACCAAAAAATGACCTCCTTAGGAGGGTCCACGTTTTAATTCACACGAGAAAGTAGAATTCTTAAAGGATATAATGGAACTTATTAGGAGAGAAGAAGCCAACATTAGTGAGGCTCGTATTTCAGCATTAACAAAATTCGAATAAACTTGTTAAAGAAATGAAATTGAGGAATGCAAGAAAAGGAGATTTCAGTCTTGATAAATAATCTGAATCAAAGAACTCAGAACTCAGAAATTTCACTCTAAACGCGATATCCTTCGGGAAAAAAAATGAGTATATAAGAATTATCAAAGTACTTAATTTATCGTTATTTGTATCTTCTCTGTGCATGAAACTGACTTCTCTCTCTGCTTCTGGGGACGAGCTCTTTTCAAGTTTAATCAAGGCCTTATAGACGACTATGACTTTCTCTCGTCCCGGGGAAGTGACAAAGACAAAAGTGAATGCTGCAAATGGAAGGGTGTGGCATCTAGCAACTTAACTGCTCACGGGAATGTTTCTTATTATCATCCCTTGAGAGGTAAGACCATCCCTGCATTGCTTGAGATGCAGCATTTGAATTACCTGGACTGGACCTAAGGGGATATGATTTCGGAGGCAGTAATCAAATACCAAAACTCATTGGTTCCTTCAAGAGTTTAAGACACATTAAATTTAAGCATGAACATCGGAAAGTTACCAACCTGCAGACTCTTGAAATTTTTGGATTCACTCAGACTCTTGAAATTTTTGGATTCGCTTGTCCATATTGTTACCAGCTGGGATTCAAGAACCTAGAATTGCTTTCTCATCTTTCTCCATATCTTTACTTGACTGGCTACAACAAATAGCAAAGCTCCCTTTTCCTCAAAGAATTGCTTTTTAAAAGAAAAGATACATCACCTCGATTTTAATTAAATAAGAACTTAAAAAAATAAAGAACTAAAAAAAATAACTATACCCTTGTGTAGCGCCACTATTGCTACATAGTACATAGCATTACTCATTAACAACAGTTCTCTTATATTAGCATGATTATGTGTATTTACTGCAGAATTATCATTCTGTTGAACCTTCTCTATCTGGCTTCTATATCAGTGATACTCACTACATTTGAATTTGGCTCTGGTCGACAAGTTTCTTCATTATTGTAATGCAATTTACAAGTTTCTTCAATATTGTAAGTCCCTCCCATGAAAAATCCAGGTTCATTGGGATCAGGCAAATTTGCTCCCTCCTGATCACTTCCTAGCATAAAAAGCACATTGGACGTAAATGGCCTGTCATCTGCGTGTTTCTGAACGCATAATAAGCCCACGTGTATACATCTCTTCACTTGAGATTCAACATATGAATCTTTCAAACATTCATCCATTAGTTCCAAGGCCCTGTCTTCTTTCCAAAGGAGCCATGCCTATGAAAATTGATCGAATTAGACGAGTTTTGTAGCTTGCAAGAAAACTAGTAGAGATATATTTATAAAGTACCAAAAGCTACAAATAAAAGTAAAATTCAATTTGCTCGCACTACTTACATGTCCTAGAAGGCTATCACAGTGATCCATGTATCTAAAACTTATGTTCTTTTTGCCAGTCACTATCTCTAACAAGACAACACCCATGCTAAAGATATCTGATTTTACTGAGAACTTCCCATCAAAGGCATACTCAGGAGCCATATAACCACTGTATAAAGTTATTGATCAATGGTCATATGATGTTGTGCAAACAATTAATTTTTTAACTAAAGTTAACAAGAAACTGAAACTTAATATGTCCTAATAACTCTTTTTGTTCTTTCTATATCGTGACCCCCTCCAACAATTCTTGCCAAGCCAAAGCCTGAAATCTTCGGATTTAGATATTCGTCTAGCAAGATATTGCTTGTTTTGATATCCCTATGGATAATCTTTAATCTGGAGTCGTGATGAAGATAGAGAAATCCACGAGCAATCCCCATAATAATGTCAAAATGCTTGGGCCATGACAATATTGTCCTTTTATCTTCATCTGCTCAGAATTGCACATTTTTAATTGTTAAAACTACATGTTTGATCCCCTTGGATCAAGCATAATGATTTACAAAACATATTAATCAGATGAAGGGTTTCTTAGGTCATACCAAAAATAAAATTATCCAAGCTTCTGTTCTCCATGTACTCATAGATTAAAATTCTTTCGTCTATTTTAGTGCAACATCCCAATAATCTGACGAGGCTTCTGTGTTGGAGTTTGGCAATCAAATTCAATTCATTCTTGAATTCTTCAATACCTTGTTTGGATGTTTTGGATAGTCTTTTTACTGCTACTCCTTGTCCATCTGATAACCTACCCTTAATATGCAATATAAGATGCAAATGTTAATGTGATATATTCGTACAAAGAAAAAAGGCACCACATCTGTTTTCGCTAGAGAAATTACCCGGTAAATAGGACCAAAACCACCTTCACCTATCATGTTTTTGCTGGAGAAGTTATCCGTGGCAGTAGCTACAGTTGCCAAACCAAATGAAGGTAATTGTAGGCCTTCAGTTTTCCTTTCATCTCCTATAAGACAATCATTGCCTTAGGGCTTTAATGCAAGGTTACTGTGATTTATGTATTCTTAAGTACTTTGCTGCATTTGTAATAAAACTTCTGTGAGAAAGAACTAAGGATAAAGAAGTTTTATTACCTTTACTTGTTAGTCTTCTCTTTAGAAGTATGCCTCCGCAGATTAAAGCAGAGATAAGCACTCCGACAGCAGTCAAAATGAAGATTATATTTGCGGGCCTTTTCTTCTTCTTACCTAAAACATTGTTAGATCTGCAATGAAAAAGAGCAGCTGATGTAACTATTTTCCACATGAATCCTTTTTTAATTTAACTAGTTATCTAGAGTTTCTTGCTTTCTGATATAAACTACAAGAAATAACATTAGTTGATTTTTTTTCTCTTGTATTCCCCTTCTGAATCTTGATTATAAAATTTGGTTGCTTAATATGATGCTGGCTTTTAGAAGTTAATATAACTAAAATTGCAAAGGATCTCAACTCTGTTCTGTTTTGGACCGTCCTTACCCACAGATAAAACTGAGTTTTCTCAATTTCAACTGGCAAAAAGCTCCAAGTTAAATATGGATACTTGAGAGTGTTTCTATTGATGTATATGGACATTCTATTCTTATCTCGATCAATATGAACTAAAATATTAGGTTAAATTTATGAATCTCAAGCAGGTCTACTTGCCCTGATCTCATGTGAACCAGTCAACCTCGGTGCATTGGCCGGATCAATGATTGGGCTGAGCATCATTAGTATACATGATCCAGAAGACAACATGACCTAAATTTTTTATACTATGGAGAAATTGGCTATTTTGTGTAACATGCGATTAGTATACATGAGTTTCACGTGCTCTAAACCTGGTCCGCACCACCCACCTTACCCTACCACCTATAGGCGATCGTCCGTCCTACGACCGCCTGAAAAGGAACTGCAGTTGTCTTGAATAGGAATCCTAAAGTGATTAACAGAATCCCCCTAAAAATACTACTCCATTTTATGGTTTCGAAATTCTCTACATTCACGAGTAGATACATGTCTTTGAAACTAAGAGTGATTAGCAGAAGACTTACCTAGTTCTGAAGCTGGCAAACGAATGTAGATGTTCGCCGTGCTATCTGCTTCAGGAGGCTCTCTAATATCAATCAAATCCCCAAACCACATCAAACAGCTACTGATTCCATCTATAAAAGGGGTAGCAAAAGCTGTACAGGAACAGCTTTTGGAACACTGAGCTTTGCATTCATTGAAACTCATACTAGTATTCAATTGAAACTGGAACCTATCAGGAAAGTTAGCTTCCACCCCAAGAAACCCGTCTCCATTCTGGCAATTTATTGGCGTAATTCTAACACATCCACCGGACCAATCTTGCACGTCCCAATCCTTCTGAAATCTTGGGGCGAATCCTTTCAGACACTCACATATTGGTACCTGACTAATTCTGCAGATACCATTAGGACCACACCGAGCATAATTGTCACAAGAATCGCGTGGAAAAGTGTGAACAAGATTCCGCCCATTTTTGCTCTCATTAATAGTATAGCGATGGATAAAGCCTGATTTGTCTAAAGTTAATCTCGTGATTAATGAGCTGTTATCATAGAGTGAAATCCTGTCTTTATTGAATACCAAAACTGGTTTAAAAGGTGTAGTGAGAACGAAAGGGAGATTACTGGTGTAATGCCCACTCCATGGGCTGCGGCGGCTTCTTTTTATCTTCCCGTGGTAGACAACCATTTCAACTAGGCCACCATTATATTCAATCCTGTCGGAAAAATCTCCAATGGACGGATCATGAGAACTTCTCCAAGACGTCAAATATTTATCTTGACCTTGTCCAAGGTAGTCTACAAGTACCATTCCCCGTAACCTGGTATCACACGGGTAATCAAAACTCTGCCATATATAGTTTTGTTGAGAAGTTGAGTTCATAATTACAAGGTTTCCAGTGTTTAAGAGGCGTACAACTGGAATTGATGCAACACTTGATATATTTGACGACCAGATAATGGTTTTGCCTCTCTTAAGAAGTAAAGTTCCATTTCTGGCTATGGACAAGATCCCTTGCGAGTCTATAATGGGATTATTTCTATTTGCAACCCAAATAACAACATCCGGAGTAGTTTTGTACCATATTCCTAAGAACCTGCTATTGGAATTACCAGGGGAGAAGAATCCCAGCTCGAATATTTCTCCCTCAGAAACTAAAACTTGCCCGTCGCGAATGGTTTGGTTTGCAGAAAGTGTATCTGCTGCAACGGACAATTTGAGAAAAGTTAAAGGATAGATGAGAGCAACGGTAAATTGTGATTGCAACATTTTTTTGGATCAAGGAATCAGTAAGTTGCCATTCCGTGTGACTTTGGAAAACACAAAACCAATCTGAATCTTCTGTAAATTGGAGTTAAGTGCTAACAAGTGTAGTGACTTTTCTGTGGTCTTTGGGTCCTGGTTGGATCCTAGTTTAAGTTGTGAACGTTGAAAAATCTGCATACCATAGAATAAAATAATGGAGGTAAATTACAGACGCATTAGGTAGCCAAGATATTTCATTCCTTTTCCTTTTCCTTTTCTGTTTATGTTTAATTGTTCAATTCCCTTTTGTAGTAACAGTTAAAACGGTGATGTCGTTTATTCAACAAAATTTGACGAGATTACTAAAAAAAGTGGTAATTGGGTCAAATAGCCTATATTATAATACACTGTGGAATTTTAGCCTTTGACCAGAATAATGTTTTTAAAATAAATATATTAAAGGGGGATTTATAAACTACCTAAAACACCCTTATTCAACATCACTAGAAAACTTAATTCCCCATTTTCTTTTCTCAAATCAATTGAATTCCAGAATCCTAAATCCATCATCTTTGTTCTCTCTTCACAATCCCCAATCCCCCTAATTTTTCTTCTTTTCTTCTTCATCTCCAGATCCTTCTACCATTTAAAATCGATTTCCTTCACCTTCTTGAGTGAAATGAAGAATTTGGTATGAAGGTTTCATCAATTTTTCCAAGATCGAAACTCGCAATTTAATAGAAAGTGACACACCCCACCCCGTATAACACCACGAGATCCGGACGTGGCATGCGCCGATGATAGCTACCAATTAAAAGTCAGACCCACCATCAAGGCTACTACAAATACAATATATCACTTTTTACACATTATTTTTCTAACAAAATTTCGGCATTATCTCCCCTGTAAACAGGACTAACCAACCTGTGATCAATTTCACACAAATCCCAAATTATAGTACAACACAATAAAGATAAGTCGAAATCTCCACTTTTATCAAGAAATACAATGAAATATACATATGGATACATAATACATAGTGAGCCCCACAACTAACTACAAGTGATGCAAAATCACATTTAAACATGAACATGCGTCCCAAAACACTGACTACATGTTCTATGAAGTGAGTCATACTAACAAACTCTGTCGTGTGGCTCTAACTCCAAAATCAAGGCTCAACTCCAAAAGATGCCCAGATTCTCAACTGCTGCCTGATAAGAAAAAACGTGGAAAGATATATGAGTTGATAGCTCAGTGAGTGGAGAAGTTCACAATAAATATACCTTTTCATTTATACATTTTTATTGAAAATAAATTCAAACAATTTGATAATTCACAGGCTAACATCATGTAATTATAGCCAAAAAGTGAAATATTCACATAATGTCATAAAAATATCATCTTAAAATCATGATATAACATCAGCTGATAACCATGTTATAATCTCATCACATCAAACGTGCTGAAAAATCCACCAAAAACGTACCCTCTGATTGAAATATGTAATTCGCCCCTCGGGCTAAGAACTTTCGCCACGGGCCTTTGGCCCCTCTGTGAACGAAAGTCGATCTCAAAGACCTCTCAAAATCAATTCTAGAACACGGTCAAGGCCCCTCAGTGAACTATATATACACGGTCGAGACCCCTTCATCCCCGGTCCATGACCCCTCAGTGTAGTATAGAACACGGCCAAGGCCCCTCAGTAAACTAGAAGAAATATATAATCACAGGTACTTTTCTGGTCGATCTCAAAATCATATCTCATATTCCAATTCACAATGTAACGTATACAATCTTTGAAATCCCACATGTATCATAATAAAACATATTTCCATAAAAATCATTTAATTCGAACACATAATTGCATATAATTGCACATATTTTAACAATAAACTTAATTTATAAATATTTTAAAAATATTTATATTTTTCTACTCACGGAACTATGTACGCCAAAATCAATTCGATTGATACGCTGTCCCGATATCCGTATCGCCGCTTGAAATATAATATAATTTTTAAATCAACAATTAACTAATTTCAATAATTAAATAGGCAATACCTAAACATAATTATTTCACGTTTAGGCGATTTTTAACGTCTCTTTAATTACTAAAATTAATTTTTCTTTCATTTTATTCAATTTCATAGTTTATTACACTTAACCCCTTCAATAAAATTAAATTTAACCTAACAATCTAACAACTACAAAGTCAAACATAATTTAACAATAAGTAACTTTTTACTTACCTTTCAAAATTAAGAAATTCAAGACTAATAGGATAGAGCACTTAATTCCTAAAACATTGATAATTTTTTCCCTTTTTTTTCTTCTTCTTTTTCTTCCTCTTTTTCATCTCTCTTTTTCTCTTTTTCATCTCTCTTTTTCTCTCTTTTTCTTCTCTGGTCCGTTCTTGTGTGTGTGTTATGAATTTGGTTTGGATTTGTATTAATTTCCACCGCCTGCCACTTTTTTTTGTCTTTTGTTCCTTTTTTTTTTTCTAACTTTGACTTTTCTTTTTGAATTGACTAGAGTATTACAAAACTCACCCCCTTAAAAGAATTTCGTCCTCGAAATTCGATCAACTAGGTACGAAAAATCTGGGGATATTGAGAACGCATCTGCTCTTTACTTTCCCATGTCGCTTCTTCTATAACATGATTCCTCCACAAGACTTTAACCAATGGAATAGTCTTACTACGCAAAATCTGTTCCTTCCTATCCAATATCTGAACTGATTTTTCTTCATAGGTAAGACTTTCCTTCAATTCTACTGGTTGTGATTCCAAAACATGAGATGGATCTGGAATATACTTACAAAGCATAGAAACATGGAATACATCATGAATTCTGGACAATTCTGTTGGCAAAGCCAATCGATACGCAACTGGGCCGATGCGTTCAACAATCTCATATGGGCCAATATACCTCGGACTCAATTTACCTCGTTTACCAAATTTGATAACACCTTTCCATGGAGACAATCGCAGGAAAACTCTATCTCCAACATCAAATTCAAGGTTTCTTCTGCATCTATCTACATAGTTCTTCTGTCTATCTTGGGTTGTCTTTAACTTTTCTTTAATTATCTTTACTTTCTCCGCAGTAATTTGGATATATTCAGGACCCAATAACTTTCTTTCACCAACTTCATCCCAACATACTGGAGTTCTGCATTTCCTACCATACAGTGCTTCAAAATGAGCCATTTTTATACTCGAATGATAACTATTATTATAAACAAACCCCATCAAAGAAAGATGAGTATCCCAATTTCCTTTGAACTGTAGTACACAAGCTCGTAACATGTCTTCCAGAGTCTGAATAGTTCTTTCTGACTGACCATTGTTTGTGGATGAAAAGCTGTACTGAAATGAAGTTTAGTACCCATAGCTTTTTGTAAACTGGGGCAAAATTTAGAAGTGAAACGAGAATCTCTATCTGAAACAATAGATACTGGTGCCCCATATAAACTGATTATCTCGTCAACATATATTTTTGCCAATTTATCTAACGAGTAAGTGACTTTAATAGGCAAAAATCTAGCAGTCTTCATCAATCTGTCTACAATGATCCATATGCCATCATGTACACTCTGAGTCCTTGGAAGTCCAAATAGAAAATCCATAGTAATGTGTTCCCATTTCCACTCAGGAACAGGCAACGTTTGTAACAATCCTGCTGTTTTCTGACGATCTGGTTTCACTTGCTGGCAAATGAGACATCTAGATACAAACTCAGCTATTTCTCTCTTCATTCCATGCCACCAACAGTGTTCTTTGAGTACACGATACATTTTTGTACTACCTGGATGCATCGCGTAAGCTGAACTATGTGCCTCTTCTAGAATTTCTCCCTTCAATTTCGAATTATCTAGAACACCTAATCTGTTTCCCATAACTAAAGCTCCGTCATCTCGAATGGTATAATCTATATGTTTACCTTTACTAACTTCTTCTTTCAATTTGTTCAACATTGGATCTTGAGTTTGAGTTTCTCTAACTGTTTCAATCAAAGTAGGCCTCACTTGGAAGTTAGCAAACAATGCTCCTATACTGGTAACTGATAATTGACCATGAGAAGCTCTGAACTCACCAAACAAAGATGAAAATACTGCATTAGTCCGGGTCATAGGACTCGATATTTTCCGACTGAGAGCATCAGCAACTACATTAGCCTTCCCTGGATGATAATCAATCTTGCAGTTGTAATCTTTTATCAGCTCTAACCATCTTCTTTGCCTCAAATTTAACTCTTTCTGATCGAAAATATACTTTAAGCTTTTATGATCTGTATATATCTGGCATCTCTCACCATACAAGTAATGTCTCCAAATTTTCAAGGCTAAGATAACTGCAGCTAGCTCTAAGTCATGTGTAGGATAATTCAGTTCATGTTTCTTCAACTGCCTGGAAGCATACGCTATAACTTTCCCATTCTGCATCAAAACACAACCAAGACCCTGACGTGAAGCATTACTATATATCACAAACTCTTCACCGGGAGATGGAAGGGTAAGAACTGGAGCTGACACTAATCTATTCTTCAATTCGAGGAAACTTCTCTCACAATTTTCATTCCAAACAAATTTAGCATTCTTTCTAGTCAAACTGGTCAAAGGAAGAGCAATTTTAGAAAATCCCTCTACAAAACGACGGTAATAACCTGCTAAGCCAAGAAAACTTCGAATTTCTGTCACATTAGTAGGTCTTTCCCATTTTACCACTGCCTCTATTTTCTGCAGATCAACATAAATTCCTTCTGCTGATATGACATGTCCCAAAAATACAACTTTATCAAGCCAGAATTCACATTTACTGAATTTAGCATACAATTGCTCATCACGTAGAGTCTGTAAGATGATTCTGAGATGTTCTGTGTGCTCATCATGATCTCGAGAGTATACTAAAATATCATCAATGAATACAATCACAAATCTGTCTAAATACGGGCGAAACACTCTATTCATCATATCCATAAATGTTGCTGGTGCGTTGGTCAACCCAAATGGCATCACAAGAAATTAAAAATGATCATATCTTGTCCTAAAAGCAGTTTTTGGCACATCACTGTCCTTGATTTTAAGTTGATGATATCCCGAACGTAAATCAATTTTTGAAAATATTGCAGCACTTCGAAGCTGATCAAACAGATCATCAATACGTGGCAAAGGATATTTATTGCGAATTGTCACTTTGTTCAATTGTCTGTAATCTATGCATAGTTGCATGGTGCCATCCTTCTTTTTCACAAACAAAACTGGTGCTCCCCACAGAGATATACTAGGTCTGATGAAACCCTTGTCTACCAACTCTTGCAACTGAACCTTTAGCTCTTTCAATTCTGCTGGTGCCATTCTATAGGGTGCCCGTAAAATAGATGCTGTTCCTGGAATCAGATCTATAGTGAACTCCATATCTCTGTCTGATGGTAAGTCTGGTAATTCTTCTGGAAATATATCAGGAAAGTCCTTGACCACTGGGATATCTTCAAGTTTTTGTTTGCTAATATCTGTATCAATTACATGAGCCAAATATGCATGACAACCCTTGTTGAGTAATCTTCTAGTGTCAATAGCAGATATCACACAAGACGGCAAAATTCTGCGCTGTCCATTGAATATAACTTTAGGCTGTCCTGGCTGCCTGAACACGACCTCCTTTCGAAAGCAATCAACTGAAGCTCGATTTGTTGCCAGAAAGTCCATACCCAAGATAACATCGAAATCATGTATGTCAAGAGGTATTAAATTTGCCTTCAGCTCATTTTCCTTTATCTTAATCCCACAATCTCGATATATATTGTTTGCTAATAGTGATTCTCCTACTGGTCAAACAACTGCCTAAAAGTTCTGGCTTTTGATTCGCATATAAAGCAAATGCAAATGACATAAAAGAATGTATAGATCCAGGATCAATCAAAATACGAGCATTTCTATCAAAAATAGACAACATACCCATGATAACATCTGGAGACTCCTTTGCCGCCTGCTGAGTCATAGCAAAAACTTTACCCTGGGTCTTCGGTCATCCTGCCTGCCCTTTTGATTTTGTACCACTACCACTTGCGAAATTTGACTGGGCCACACTGTTTGCACGTGTTCTATTAACTAAATCATCTCTCTGAGTCTGATTCTGTCTTGTACTACCAGCACTCTGCTAAGGAAATATCTTCGGTACTATACCACTCTCCTGTGATAGAACTGGACAATTTCTTCTGATATGTCCGCCTTGACCACAATGATAATAGACTTCGCTTCCTTTGAACTTTAAACACGTGCCGATATGAGGTCTTCTACATAATTGACAATAAGGTAGTCTAGTACTAGTAAAACTCTCGCCCTGTCTCGGAGTAAATAATCTCTGGGAAGAACCCTGAGTATAAGTACGACTGGCCACTGGCTGCTGTACAGTACTGGGACTGAATCTAGGGCCCTGACTTCCTCGTGATCGAGATTTGAATTGACTTGAACTGGCACCAGGTCGAAATCCTCTACTGTCTCTCCGTGGTGGTCTATAGCTAGAAACACTTGCCATTGTCTGACTATCGCTTGCTCTGAACATTGTTTGTTCTCTAACACTTGGCCTATCAGAAATGCTCTTTTCCACTCTCAAAGCTGATTCCACCAATTTGCCAAATACATTCCAGCCTGCAGCTGTTACTACTGATCGGATTTCTTCCCTTAACCCATTTTCAAATCGTCTACATTTATCAATTTCGTTGCTTACTAGAACTTGGGCATACTTTGAAAGTTCAATAAATCTCACCTGATATTCTGCAACTGTCATCTGCCCTTGTACTAGTTTCAAAAATTCCTCCTGCTTTGCATCTTTATAGGACCGAGGGTAATAGACATCATAAAAGATACATCTGAATTCTGTCCAAGTGATGATGGAAGGGTCTAGATATGTGCTCTGTACCGACTGCCACCAATCGTATGCACCTTCCTCTAATAAGAAAGTGGCGAGACACAACTTCCTATCGTCTGAGCAACCCATAACATCAAATACTCTCTCTATCTTAGTCATCCATGCCTGTGCAACTGCAGGATCAGCTGTGCCAGTGAACACTTTAGCTCCTAACTTTGTAGCCCTTTCAATACTGAAATCTCTGTCAGAATTACGCATAGCAGACGCAACGGCAATAGCAATTCTTTCAACAGCAATAGGATCAGTTCCGATCACATTTCCCTGTCCCCGTTGTTCAGGAGGCTGGTGAACTGATTCATCTACTCTCTCGGGCTCTCTCAGTTCATCTCTATCAGGAGCAATTTGAGACTGGGGCAACATATCTTGGAGCCTTCGAGTTTTGCCACCATGAGGCATGACTCACCTATAGTTATGCATGATATGCTAAACATCGGAATGTATGCATGTACAATGCAAACCCATGAACTCTAATGCATGCTCTGATACCAAACTGACACACCCCGCCCCGTATAACACCACGAGATCCGGACGTGGCATGCGCCGATAATAGATACCAACTAAAAGTCAGACCCACCATCAAGGCTACTACAAATACAATATATCACTTTTTACACATTATTTTTCTAACAAAATTTCGGCATTATCTCCCCTGTAAACAGGACTAACCAACCTGTGATCAATTTCACACAAATCCCAAACTATAGTACAACACAATAAAGATAAGCCGAAATCTCCACTTTTATCAAGAAATACAATGAAATATACATATGGATACATAATATATAGTGAGCTCAATAACTATCTACAAGTGATGCAAAATCATATCTAGACATGAACATGCGTCCCAAAACACTGACTACATGTT